CTGCAAGCAAAGGAAGATCGTGTTGAACGAGAGATGCGGGACCTGGAGCATCGACTTGAGAGAGCTTGGGCTCGAGAAGAGAGAGGTCGGGAAAGAAGCGGCTCGAGAAGACCGGCGGAAAACAGGCACCACGAAAGCGGTTGAGGCGCTCAACAGATCGGTGGCAGGCGACTATCTTCTTGGCCGGGAATATAGAGGATCCTGTGATCTCTATTTCGTAGCTTTACGCTCTGTAACTTGCATAACGTTATCAGTAATGATCCGCTCATGGAATGTCATAACATTGCAACTTAGCTGTAGAAACATTGAGCTTATCATGCTTACATCTAACATTTCTCGGCGAGCTCCGCCCACTTAGACAGAATAAAAGGGGCTCGCCGAGCTCGCTTGTCAGTGTTTTACCCTTGCTTTTATATATGTAATCATTTTACCGAATACAGTTTAATTACCCAAGTTTAAGGTGTCAACTGAACCACTGACACAACCGAAGGGAGCATACCAAATAGTTGGTACCGTCAGCAATAGTTTATTCTGCGATTCCTCATCACTAAGGGGAGTGCCGCATAGAAAATTTTGATGACTGTCTTCTAGGGGGTATATACAAGAAGTGAAACGGTAAAGTGCGGTAATTCTCAAAACAATTTTTTCGACCATTCGCCCGGCGAAGCCGGCCGATCCGACTGGCCCTCCCTCTCATGGAAAACTTCTCACCGGGACCCACCGATCCGACTGGCCCTCCCTCTCATGGAAAACTTCTCACCGGGACCCACTTCACACGCCGGAAGGAGGATCGGCCGGCAAAGCTGGCCGATCCGACTGGCCCTCCCTCACATGGAAAACTTCTCACCGGGACCCACCGATCCGACTGGCTCCTCCTTTTCATGAGGAACTCCTCACCGGAACCCAGAGATCCGACTGGCCCTCCTTCACATGGAAAACTTCTCACCGGGACCCACCCACCCGACTGGCCCTCCCTCTCAGGGAAAACTTCTCACCGGGACCCACAGATCCGACTGGCCCTCCTTCACATGGAAAACTTCTCACCGGGACCCACCCACCCGACTGGCCCTCCCTCTCAGGGAAAACTTCTCACCGGGACCCACAGATCCGACTGGCCCTCCTTCACATGGAAAACTTCTCACCGGGACCCACACAGATCCGACTGGCCCTCCCTCTCATTTAAAACTTCTCACCGGGACCCACTTCACACGCGGAAGGAGGATCGGTCGGCAAAGCTGGCCGATACGACTGGCCCTCCCTCTCAGGGAAAACTTCTCACCGGGACCCACAGATCCGACTGGCCCTCCTTCACATGGAAGACTTCTCACCGGGACCCACCGATCCGACTGGCCCTCCCTCTCAGGGAAAAATTCT